TTTTTTTTTTTTTTTTTTTTTTTTTTCTGATTGTTTGTTCAGGTAGCCATTTTGCTTATTCACAAATGGGTATTTTTTTTTCCCCCCCAATTGTCCATAAATGGGCCGTGGCACGTGCGCATTTTTTTTTTTTTGGTTCTCTAGCCCAACTTTCAACTCGGTGAAGACGCGTCAACTGGGTGAGCATCGCCCAACAGGGCAACTGCAACACACGGACAACAGTGCCATTTGTGGCTAAACCGAGAGCGACTTCACGAACTCGTGGATCTCCTGGCGCTCAGCCTCCCGCTGGCGAGCGAGCTCCGCTACGAGCTCGGGGTCTCGCACCTCCTCTTGCGTTTCTGGATGCACCACCTTAAGCTTGCCCTCGTTGAGCAACTTCTTAATTTGGTTGGTGTCCAACTTGACCAAGTCAGGAACAGCACCTTGCTCATGGGAAAGAGCAATGTCTTCGGTTAAAAATGCTCTAAGGAAATTTTCAAAGAAGGAACACTCTTCCAGATATTTCTCCTCAATGCGGCTAACTTCTTCATGATACATGTCAGGTGACACCTCCACTTTATTTTCAAAATTTTCTCTCAGTTGCGCAACATAGTCCACAAAAACAGGGTACATCGCATCGTCCTTGTTGTATCGTCTTAGGAAGGAGTCCGCGACATTCTCATTGGGCAGGTGGAGCCAATATTCCCCTCTTTCTTGTAAAACTTGAGAAATAATTTTTAAAAAGGAAAAATATGAATCGTTAATCTTAACATTTTTTCCCTTTAAGTAAAGATAAAAATTGCCCAGTGCGTCTAGTGGTTTGTATTGCACACTTGTTATATTTTCATCGCAAGGTGGAGGTAAGTAAAAAAGACAATTCACTTGGTCGTTACACAATTTGAACAGTGTTCCCTCCCCTTCGTAAGTATTTAGCACGTGTTGTAACATCTCCTCCGTTTGTACCGGAATGAAAGGATCACACAAAAAAATATAATTACCCATAAGACGAGAAAGAACTAAATTTTGGTAATCCCTGAAATGTTGGAGAAGCTTCAAGTGGTACTCCTCTCCTTTGTGTTCGTAATCTGATGGCTGTAATTCCAGAGGTACTTCCCTCTTTGCTGTGACCAATTGGTAATTCTTTCTCCTCCTCTGGGCTACCTCCAAATATTGAAAGCGCAAATCTTCAATGTGTGTTTTCCATTTCCAGCTGAACAGTTCAGGGAAAAACTTATAACTTAATCCTGTCCTTAACAAAAAGTAAATCATATTTTCGAGAAAAATTCTCCTATTTATATCGTAGTGTTCCCAGGAGGGCAGGTTAATCATATAATCATACAAAATGGGCGTGTCACTTCTTTCATTAAACTTTGTGGTTTTTTTCATCCATTCACTTTTTTCCATATTTTTATTTTCTTCATCTTCCGGCGTTAATGACTTGCTGTTCAGGTTGTATGTAGCGTGTTTTTCCACAAATGCTTGCCAGTACAGGTCACTGTCAATCCATTCGTTGTTATCCAAGTTGCTCACTGGTGGGTTATGGAAGTTGATCCACAAGGTTTTTGCTCCGTCTACGAGAAGCTTGGCTGATGCCTTTTCAGCCTCCTTGCAATTTTTCAGGGCCTCCTCGAACAGCTCGTCCTCTTTACTCTTCTTCTTGTCCTTCACTTCTTTGCTCTCGCTCTGGTCCAGCTCGTCCAGCGCGTTCATTTGATGGTCGTAGAAATTCTTCATGCTGCGTTGGCGAAGCGGGGGGGGGGGGGGGGTGGAGTAGCATTTGTGTAACTCGTACGTGGTGCAAACTTTCCCACGGTACAGCATCTCGACGGTGCACTTACCACATCAGGGCCTCCTTGTTGCTGATCTTCTCTGCCCAGGCGCTCCAGTCAACCCGCCGAAACTCCTCGCGCTCCTGCTTCTGCACCAGCACCTCTGCCTCGAACAGCTTGGCATTCAGCTCCCTCCAGTGGGCCATGTCACTATCCTTCGTTATGTAAGAGCTCAGGTCCTGCCATTTCTTCTTCAGCGCCGCTAACGTACTGAAGCGCCTGCGCTGCCTGCGGAGTGGGTGTGAGATGTGAAAACACACATCGGGCGTGATATAAGTTAGCCACGCACGTCAGGTAGACCTTCCACTTTCAATGGCCCATTATATGCTGACCCTCGCAAAAAACAGGAGCACACTGACGAAACGCCTTCTCTCCCCACCTACCTGCTAATAACTTTCAGGGGCGTCATTTTCCCTAGCGCGTGTAACTTTCATCAAATTCTTAAACCTGCGCCAGGCAGTGAGGCACAATTTGGATGCCTCCTTCGGTGGGGCAATGTACCCACGAGAAGGAACTCGAACACGTGGCAAAAGCCGCACAGCAGATCAGAAGATCACCAGCGAAATGTTATATCACTACGTTAGCATAATAACCGGGATGGTATATTTTTACTCCCCTTGTGTGCACCAACGGAACTAACCGCATTTCTTTCATTTCCAAAATGGAGAAAACGAAAGAGCTTTTGATTCACGTGTTACGTCGGGATGTACATACGTGTACACATTTTTTTTTTTGTTTTTTTACTCGGAAGAAAAAAGGCTTTTTTTTTTTTTTTTTCCCCTGCTATATATATGCCCATTTGACGTGGCCCAAGTTTTGTTTCATGCACTGTGAAGGGGAACACAAAAAGGGGGCGCATACCGTTACTTTTTTTTTTTTTTTATCTTTCTTGAGTTGGCACTGCACAGTTATTAGCAGCATGTTGTATCTACGCTGAACGAATCAAACGAGGTACTGAAGGTGTCACGAAGAGAGAAGTTACGACCCTTTTTTTACAAGTAATTTTTTTACACGCAATTTTACGCGCAATGTTATACGAACTTTTGGCACAGTTTTGGGGGAGCGTATAGGACAAGCGCGCCTCCACTTCCTGGGGATGATTCACTTGACACTTTTGTGAGCACAAGAGGAAGGAACAAAGGTATGCACATAAAAAAGAAAAAAAAAAAAAAATTAGCCCATTCGGTTATTACGTCCTGTGGAGGGGTAAAACGGAAAAGTCACAAAGCACGCATCTTTACACACTTAACCGTTTGTGGTTGGCGATGATGAGTTTGCGAAACTCGCAAGGGTGATAGGAGCCTCCCCCGTTAGTGTAACTACCATCTCGCTCGAGCGTGTATACACAATGTGCCTCGTTGGCGTACCCCTTCCTCGCTTACCAGTCGTGCCGAGCTTCAATGAGGCCCACGAGCTTATGGTCATTATCAAATATGGAGTAGTATTTTCTTATGAAAACGTTTCCTGTGCAGAAGGTGAGGGGCAGGGGCCTCGGATTAGTGGGTCCATGCCAACATAATTAAAAGAGCTCCCCTTTGCCACGTTGCAAAACAGGTGTGCACATTACCGAAGACAAAGATGGGCCCGCGAGGCGCGGGGACGTCCAGCGACATTATTCCGATGACGCCTGCAAGGGGGGGAGGATGAGTGGCGGTAATAAGGGGTAAGAAATGCGACAGGTGAACCAGTTATATGACGACGTCATATTTGTGTGCTATCTTACATTGAACAGAATTATCCTCCTAAATGGGATATACACACCGTAAGAAAGAGAAAAAAAAAAAAAAAAAAAAAAGGGTTAGCAAATGTGAGCAAGAAAGAAAAGACAAATTGGGGCGACGACACTCGGCATGCTCTCCCCCCGAAAGACACTCCTGAACACATGTGCCATTCACGGTACATATGACTATGCGTTGCACATTTTTTTAAAGAGGATCTCCCAAACAGCCCACGTAAAGTAGCGGAGCCATCTCGCCCCTCTAACGCTACCTCGTCAATTTCCTCCAGTATGTAGTCGTCCGGCGTAAAATCGAACTTCACCTCTTTCCCTTCGACATTTTTTAAAATAAAAGAAATATTTGGCAAGCTGCTCTTATTTGAGCAATCCTTCTCCAGGTACAGTTTTTCTATCAGCGGTTGCATCAGGCTGGATGGGCCGGTTAGCTAAAGGGAAAGAAAATGGAAAAAATATATGAACCGTTCAGAAAACAAATTGAAAAAGGGGGCAAAAAAAAAAAAAAAAAAAATATGAACCGTTCATAACAAACTTGAAAATATGTAGCGAAAGGAAAAAAGCTAGCTCGCCCTATTTCGCCATTGGAATACTTCCGACCCCCCAAGTTGCTCACAAGTAACACATACCAAACTGGATCCAGTGTCAATGGCCGCTCTACATTTCTTATTTTCGCATATGTTTAAATTATGGTCGGAGAGTTGTACGTCTATCAGGTTAATTTCCCAGAAATCTATTTGAAAAAAAGGGGACGTGGACAAATCACTGTGTTGTTCCGGTAAAGTGTGTAACGAAACGGAGTTATTAAAATGCTGCTAAATTGCAAAATTTTTTTTTTTTTCTCACAAATCGATATGACTGGAAACCATTCAATTTGTCTCCCTTCGAGGGCGTATTTACTGTTGGCTCGTCCGAATGTAATGGAGCCTGGCCTGTTCAAGGAAAAGAAGTTTATACAGCCATTGCTCATGCTTAAGTGCGCACGGGGGGAGTGCATAGTTGTGCTTACTCTTGCAACTTCTTTGGCACGTAAAAAGAGAAAATGTTCCTCTTCAGCAGGTTCTGGCATTTCCAAAAACGGGGGAGGGGGAGTTGCCTGTTCGCTGGGCTGGTTGTCATGTCGACACGCTGCCAAACAGACAATGAGACAAGAAGTCAGGCAGCCACATGCCGCTACTCCCGCTACGCGCGAACCTGCTTTTTTATCGTCTCTATTAAGGACATGCCGTATCCTTTTTTAAAGCTGAAGTCCGCTTCGCGTAAATCGGCGCGGTCAAAGGGGGGGGGGGGGAAATTAACAATCAGTCGCGGCGTCACCCAAGTGAGCAAACATGCCCAAAACAGGAAGCAGCGAAGAGGCAAAAAAAAAAAAAGAACCAACGGTCTGAAAATCCAAGGCCAACAATCCCATCGAAGGGTAAATCCGAAAAGGGGTGTAAAGATTCTGCAAAAAAGGAAAAAAAAAAAGGGGGGCATTTCTTATTTTAACTTTTTCTCTCCTTTTTTGTTGTGCATGTGATTTGATGAAGGATAGGTTTTCCCCTTTGGTAACCTTCTATGGCTAGTCCGATACTCTGATGTTTGATCCTCCTAAGAGGAGAAAAAGGGAGCCATCCGAATGAACCAGTCTATGCAGAAGCATTTGTCTGAACATTTATGCAAACGTTTAGTTGCGAAGAGACGTGTATTCCTTACAGTCCCTTTAAATTGACGTCGTCATATCCGTGCTCAAGGACTTGGGAAAAAAAAAAAAAAAAAAAAAGACAAAGCAGGACAGGCAAAACATGACACGAGCATAGCAACGGGTCAAGTCACCCAGTCTGCATTCAATACACCGTTTCGTTACACACGAGAGTGCAATTTTATTTTATTTATTTATTTTATTTACTGCTCTTTCCTGTCCCGTACTAATGAGAACAAGAGAAAAAAAAAAAAAAAACGGTGATACACAAATGATGGGTAATGTCCAAGCGCGTTTCCCTTTTAAAGGTATGTGAGTGCATAATTTGCTTTCTTTTGTATTTAGAAAAATTCTGAGCTGACCTGGATGTAGGTGTAAATGGACTCCTTATTGCCTATTGCGGGGGAAGAGTAAAAAAGTCATGGTCACTATTTTGACGCGACGTTTTTGCATGCACAACAACACGTGCATCCCCTCGGTTACCTTTTAACTGCTGTGTGTACGTCCTGGACTGATCGGGGTTGAATTTCTTGTGGGGCGCACAGCCTCCTCTGCAAGGTGGGGAAAACAGAAAAGTTACGTAAAAGACACGAGGCTAAACGTGGCGGTGGCTGCTCATCTAATTGCACAAGCGCAGGAGATAGCTACGCGTCTTCTGGGGTGGATGACCTACTTGATACATTTCGTCGAGGGCAGGGCAAAGTTGCTGGACCCCGTGTCGAACACGACCTTAAAACTTTGCGGAGGAGTACCAACCTCTATGTCCCCAATAAACTGGCTGTTATGAAAATTGAGTAAGTCCTCCTGCACGTACAACAACGAGTTTGGAGTCTTGTGCTCTATGATGTCGTGGAAGGACCTCACGTTTCGTATGAACCCCTTTATGTCATTTTCAAATCGGTTTTTCAATTTTATTTCGCTGAGGAGAATGGGCTTCTTGCTGGTGTCCTCCAGGGGGGGAGCGTTACTTAAGTTTTTCTTTCCCCCGCCACTTTTAAGGGCGCTAAATGGAGGTAGACACAAAATTGGGGGCGGCAATAAAGCCACGAAGAGGGTGAATAGGAGGACGGCAAAAAGGAATACTTGTCCCATTTTTGCACCGTCTCTTGGTGGAAGTGATTTGGCCGTCACAAGCAGTTGAGTTAAACAAAAAAAAAAAAAAAAATTAACACAGTAATAATTTGACAGTAACGTGTGGCCAGGTGGTGGATGCAAGCGGCTAGCCTTTTTGCTCTCCGAGCAGAACTTAACCGCGGAAGTGGAAAGGAGAAAGAGGGGACAACGCATCACGGAGGGGGGAAGTAACGACGGGGTGTGCGTTCACAATATGGAAAAAAAAAAAAAAAAAAAAAAAAAAAGAGGAAGGCAAGGGTAAACCATGCCAATTCAAACGGCTCCAATAAAAGCAGGTCAATCCGAAACAACAACGCGAGTAACGCGAAAATGTACGTACACGAACGGCTACGCTTCGTCAACGTGGAAAAGCATACACATATTTTACAAACGCCCGCACGACAAAAATTTAACTCTGCCGTGTCTGGACAAAAAAAAAAAAAAAAAAAATTTGATCCAATTTTGCTACGTGTACTTTAGCAGAAGCAAGAGTTCCTTCTCCGCCTGCGCAACTTCGTTCAAATTGAGATTCTGCAAAATAAAGGGGAAAGAACAAATGACCCAGTGAAAAACCAAGTGGGGAAAACAAGGCGCAACTGTGCACACTATATTAACTTTTGCTCCCCCGCGGGGAGTTCATGTGGGCATCCTCACAAGTAGCAAATGGCATATCCGCTCTCTGTAGAGTCGTTAATTTTTTTTGGGTGCCTCCTTTTAGGAAGGGAATTAGGAGATATATGGTTATATGTTCCCTCCCCGTTCTTACCAAGTCGTTGAACAGCTGTGCCTCGAAATATTTTTTCACAACCGCGTGATAATTGAAACACTTATCTACGTAACTCTGCAGCGACTGTTTGCTCGAGGAGCTCTCGAAATTTCTGTAGAACTCTTTCGTCAAGTAGATAAAATCGTATGTCCATTTATCTTCTGCTTCCAAGAGTTGCACCTTCTGGCTAATCTTCTCCTCGGGGGTCAGGTTGCTAATCGATTGGATCAGTTGGTCTGCATGTGCAAGGGGTGGTCAGTCCATTAGTGATGGGTCAGTTCACTCGTGGGAAATTTTTGGCCCACCGAGGGCTACACACTGCACACTCACCTGATATGTAGGACAAATTCTCGTACAGCTCTTTGCACTTCTCGAGGAAGATGGCGCGGTCTTCGCTCTCCCTCTTGTCCGCGTTCTCCTTCGCCGTGTTGAAGCTGCAGCATGGGGGGAGGTGGGGGGAAACAAGGAGGATGTGCACACACAGGGGTGAAGTGGTTCGCGTTGCGATTTGTTCTAAGTTGTTTTTTTCTCCCTCAATTTTTCCGCATGGTTGGTATTTTTCGCTCATTCTATCTGAACGGTTCATATTTTTTTTCTCATTTTTTTTTTTTTTTTTTTTTTTTCATTTTGGCTAGCTACTTGAACGGGAGCTCGCGCAAGAGGCAGATCAGGAGGATCGCGGCGAACGTGATTAGTATGACCAAGAGGGGCTTCCAAAAAAGGTTGAAAAATTTAAACTTGTACATGACGAGAAAGTCCTGGTAGTAATTCTCGTCCATTGGGGGGAAGAATTTCTCGATTTGAATTTCTACAACATTTCGGAAGGAAAACAAATCGAGCCACTCCTTCTGCTTGCTGGTCAGGACATTAACACTGTCGTCCCTGGAAACAACTGCAACGTCATCGGAGAAGGGGGGCAGAGAAATTCTGACCTTGAGTTTCTTTATAAAAAAGGACTTGATGGATGGGGAAATATCAATTTTGTATGCATAATAATTCTTTTTGTTTTTAATTTTGTACAAATTGGACTCATGATAAAAGGAATTAAAAAAATGAGCTCTCCATCCACCCAAAAGGGGGTACCTGGGTCTTAAGTCAAACTGAATGTGGCTCTTTTTTTTTTTATTATCAAATATTTCTTCCGCTTGGATGAGGTATATTTTGCCGAGGTCGTCAAAGTACTCATATTCATGTATGTCGTAATTTATTCTCGACTTCATGGAGTAAATAATTGTGGTGGACTGATCGTCTGTCTCTTTCCCTTCCTCCTGTGACGTGTGTTTACTTTCGTAATCACTAAGTAGGTACCTATCAAATGTGTGTATCTTTGCTGCGTCATTGCGCAGGATGTATTCTTCCCGTTCGTACACAAAACCCAATTGAGATAATTTTATATCTTTGGTGACTCGCTCGAAGTAGCCTAGGTGGTTGTTGGCGCGGAAATAGAACAGGGCTTTGTGCCCGAGTGTGAACCGACCCAGTTCCTTCCCCTTTGCAACCAACTCGTTTTGATCGTGTGACACTGCCTCCCCTCCCTGGGGAAGCTCACCTCCCACTGCTCCTCCTCCACTCTTCTCACAAACATACGTATCATCATTGACTTTTACAAAGCTCCTCAAAAAATCTCCATCTTCAATCCGAACGATGGAGCAATTTTTGCACAAAAATATTTTTAACTCTTCCTTTTCTTCTACATCATAGGGCAAAAGAATTTTCGAGGAAAGGTAAAACATTATTTTCTGTCCTTCCTCTGGGGATATATCAGCAGGGAATGGAAAGTAGGGCTGTCCCAGGGCATATCCAAAATAGAGGGAGACCTTTTCATCTTTGTGCAATTTCCTTTTTAGGGTTACCCTGTATGCCTTCACTTGGAATCGGTCCAAGTCGTAGTCCTCATTGAAGGGGTCCACTTGAATTTCGCTCGCGTCGTGCCTCGGCTCATGCAGGATCTGGTACCGAAGCTCGCCTTCGTTGTGGTCTCTCACGCGGAGGGTGCTGGCCTGCGGGGGTGTGGCGGTGGTGCAGTGATAACGTAGCGGCGATAGAACGGTGTAACAGCAACGCAATGGAAACAGGTCTGTTCGCCATTAGAGACGGGGCCTCTCTCCCACTGCAGGGTACCTGGAAGGCCTCGTGGTACGGAAGCAAGAAGACAAAGCTTTGGACGCTCTTATCGCCCTTGTTCTTCAAGTCACCCCGGATAATCACTTCAACGTAGTTCTTTTTTAAATGCATGTCCTTCGTAATATGTTCATACACCATGTAGTCCTCATCACCCACGTACTTTTTTATTAACTCATTTTTATGGGCCTCCAAAAATTCCACATCTATGTTAACCAGGTTGGAAAAAAGATTCAAACTCAACTTCCCCGCGACACACCATATCACTACGACACTTAGGAAAACCCATGGGATGAGATTCATTTTGTGGAGCAAGTCCTCATAAGGTGTGTCCTTCCGCTACGCGCGTTTGGATGTGGAGCAACACTTGGGGGGCAAGCAGTCGCGTAGGAAGGACGAAATGCAGAGTGACAAGGCAACAGATCAACTAGCGGTGCGTGTATAATGGGCGGGGAGGTCTTAGCGGAACAAGCCTTTACCAACCCAACTGTAGAAGGGGGACCGTACTCTTTCTTCTTCCCACCGTGCCATGCGGAGAGAACTGCCACCTGTTGTTCTCTCCGCGTGTTGCTTTTCTATACCTATGTACATGCCTATATATATATGCATATATATATGTGTTTTTTTTTTTTTTTTTTTTTTTTTTTTTTTCTGTTCAGCTATCTGTTGAAACACACCCCCCCTAAAGCTCGTTTTCCTTCGCAATGTTGGGGGAGAAATCCCTTCATCGTCCCCTCTACTTTTGAAGTCAAAAAATGGATCAGAGAGTACCCTCCAACGACGCTATGCCACCAGGCCCAACAAAAACACAGTGCAGGAGGGTAGAGAATGGTACGCGGAATAAACGTTCACAATGTTATGTATGCACAGGAAGGGAAAAAAAAAAAAAAAAGTACCTCTCATCAACTGGCCTCTATATGCATGTCATACCCAACCATATTAAAAAAAAAACAGAACCGTTCGATTGAGCCCCGTTTTCGTGCAATTATGAAGAATGGGGGAGGTAACCTTTTTCTTCCCACTGCATTAACACCTTTTCCATTTTATTTTTTAACATGTGCTAAGGCACTTGCGCAGTGAAATGAATCGAGTGACAAGAAAAGAAATACAAAGTTAGAGGTGGATTCAGTTGTGCCTCAAATGGGGTGACCACTTTGGTGGGGGCGGGGTTGGTCCTTCTAAGTGTATGGAAGCTTTCGTAATAAAATAACAAATTGTGGGGGGAATTATAATCAATGCCCCGAAGGGCAGCGGGTGGGGCGTCACCACAGATTATATACTTACTCCTGCTGGAGAAGTATGTACCGATTGGGTGATTAACTTTTAATGAGACGAGGTTGTGCTCGTCGAGGACAGCACACACACCCCTTTCGTGATATAGCAGTGGGCATGTCGATCATGTGACCTTTGTGTACATATAGACTCCCTTTTTTTTGGGGGTGGTCACGCCGGGTTTGTGATTAAATGAGTGTAGGACAAGGAGGTGTGAAGATTTAACCGTATTTTCATTTGCCCAATTTTTTTTTCCCTCCTTTGAAGTTGTGCGGCGGGGAACCAACACAGGAGATCTTATTTGGACGGACTCTAAAAAAAAATGAGTTTTCTTTTCAGGTGTGTCACCAAGAGAGTTCCTTGGCGCGTTCAGTTGGAGCGTTTATGCGGGATCGTTTATGGGGCAACACATTGGGTACGCCTTCTCTACCCCTCTTGACGGGGACAGGACCAGCACATGGGTCCAAATGGAGGAAAAATTCCAACCTCTGTTTACAACGTTAATGGGGGAAAGGGCTATTTCGCATTTGAGGGTGGACGCTGCCACTATGTCTTTCTTGCCCCCTCCACCCTCCATTATGGACACACCAACGTGGATTTCTCCACCTGCCGAAAGGCATAAATAGAACAATGCTTCGAAGCTATGGAACAGACTGAACGGGTGATAAACCTTCTAGCTCTGCTAAGTTGCACCTTTCCGTTTGTATTTCATTTTGACTTCCATTTCTCTCTCCTGGTAACTGTTAAAAAAAAAAAAGAAAAAAAAAAAATGGGACATCGTCCACCTCTGCCGGAAGGAGAAGAAACACGCAGAGCGGTGGTAAAACCACTCCACAGGACGCGAATGGCTCATATGTAAAAGTTATAATGTTCCCTTCCCCTTGGCGATAACGATAAAGTAGATTTAATGTGGACGTTCTTTTTCATTTGCTATTTGCTACTTTTTTTTTTTTTTTTTTTTTTTTTCTCCCAATCATATTGTAGTATAAGTTAGCACCGCCAGTTTTTTTATGCAAAAAAAAAAAAAAAAAAAAAAAAAAAAAAAAAAAAAAAAAAAAACCCCCCCTTTTTTTTTTTAAAAAAAAAAAAAAAAAAAAAAAAAAAAAAAAAAAAAAAAAAAAAACGCGCGACCTTTTTTTTTTTATCGCCGTTTCGACTACAACATTATTTTCGCGTGGCCATATGCATGTCCTCACAAACGAATTCAAATTATATATTAAAAGTGTTCCTGCAGATGGTACAAAAAAGTTACTTCTATTACATGCCCCTCATTCCACCTTTATAAATACACGTGGATGGCTCAGCAAAACGCTACTTTACCAAATTGAGTAGAAACACGTTTTAACACTACCACGCAGTGAACTATTTTTTTTTAACAGCCATACGATTGCTACTTTGTTCAGAGAAGTCCCTTCCAGGAAGAAGCAAACCAGCCCAACTTCCACAGCAAAAAAGAAATTGTTCTTATCGAGAGAAGAGCCGTCCCCCGAAGTGGTAATTTTTTTATCCCCCAGTGACGCACGTTCCCCGTTGGCGCTTCCCCGCCCGGCGTCATCCATATGTATAGCGGCGTGACCGCGTCAACGCGTCAACACTGCAACGATTCAACCGCTTCACTCGCGTAACTCGCTTCACCCCCCCCCCCTTCGCAGAAAGGCCCGCCAACCGCGTTTAAGATAGAACCCACCAATTAGAGTTGCAACCCCTCACAAGAGCGCGTCGCTTCCCCCCGCCCCTTCCCCATCACGAGAACAAAATGACGTCGAACATCATTGATAAAATTATGAACCTGGAGGTACCTGAAAATGGAAACGCCTCATTAAACATTATTTTTGGAGTGGTAAATATTTTCTTCTTTGGAATTGGCATGGTCATTCTAGGTATAATTAATAAAGACATGGATGACCTCATAATTGGTATTCTGCAACTGCTTGTTCCGTTGATCGGGTGGATCTGGGCCGTGTTCTGGGGTATCCTAATCGTTATTAAAAACTCCAAGTGAGAGGAATGTGAGAGAGAGAGAACGGGGTTTTGTCTGTCCAATGGACGGGAAGCCTTTTGTGTAAAAGAAGAGGGACCCCCCCCTTCCCCTGTTTTTTACTTTGGTGATATTTTTCATCGAATACGTCTTTTTCTGGGGTGTTTAGAAGACCCCCTTTTTTTTTAATCACCCCATTTTTTTAATCATCTCATTTTTGATTATGCCGAGTGGGAAAAATGTTCCACTTTCGTGTCACATGCGTGTCACTCTACCCCCCCTCCCCGTACCAACAATTGTGTTTCTAGTTCTTATCTGAACGTTGCATGAGAGAGCTCCGCCATCTGTTTATAACTCCCTTGTGTGAACTCTTTTTATATTACTGCCCCTGTTTTGTATCCCATTTTGCTTGCATTCGAATGAATTTTTTTTTTTTTTTTTTTTTTTTTTTTTTTTTTTTTTTCCTTTTCCAACCACATTTTAAAATATACC